TAGTGCTGAAAGAAGAAGTGGACACATGTTCCCATTCCTAACCCAGAAGCAATCTCTGATTGATAACTACATGCAAATGAAAATTCAGTATTCTCCAAGGACTCTTACTAGAGACACAAACTGCTCTTAAAGGTAGGCTGCATGCCTGGTGGTGGCAACAGAAAACAAATCATTGTCATCTTGGAGCTTCCTTGATTTATAAAGTCATGTCTGGGGACTTTTCCTTTATTAATATATATATATATATATGTATATATATGTATATATATATACATATATATACATATATATATATATATATTAATAAAGGAAAAGTCCCCAGACATGACTTTATAAATCAAGGAAGCTCCAAGATGACAATGATTTGTTTTCTGTTGCCACCACCAGGCATGCAGCCTACGTGTTTCTATGGGATTCCTGTGTGTGAACAAGTAGGCCTGTGTTTCTTGTGCTTTCTTTGGTGCTCTTTTTGTAATGTTTGTTTTTCCCCATTTTCATGTGTTCATCTTTGTTTTATCTTATTAGATCATATTTTATTTCATTTGTTAGCCCTTAGAAGCTTGTTGGTTTTCTAATGAGAGAAAGAAAAGGGGTAGATCCAGATGAGGGGGGGTGGTGGTTAGGATCTGGCAAGAGTAGAGGGATGGGAAACCATAATCAGGATATAGTACTCGAGGAAAAAAATTCTATTTTCAATAAAAGGGGAAAAACAAAAATAAACCCCCTTCTCCTCAAGTTGCTCTTGGTCACAGTGTTTTAGCACAACAATAATAATCCTAAACCAAAGTATGACTTGAATGCCATTAAAATGGCATAGAAGACTCATGCTAAGATGATTAATTGCTAAGCTTCTTGAGGAGGCTTAGTCACATTTGGGTAAGCCTTTTTGTGATGGTTGGAGAAGCCTACACTCATGCTTTTAAGTGTGCTTTTTTTTCTTCTTCAGTATCTATTTTAAAAAATTTATTACATTTGTGTGTGTGTGTGTGTGTGTGTGTGTGTGTGTGTGTTTGTGTGTTAGCACTATGTGGCATAACTCTCATGTGGAGGCCAGAAAACAACTTTCAGGAGTGGGTTCTCTCCTACCATGTGGGCTCCAAGTATGGATCTCAGATCACCCGATTTGGTGGCAAGTGTCTTTACCCACTGAGCTGTCAAAAAAAAAAAAAAAAAAAACCAAACAAAAACCAAACAAACAAAAAACCCCTCTAACTCAGCTTTATACCGGCTAAGCTGTGTGTGTGTTTCATTGAGCCATGAGTAGAGGTCCTGAAAAGATTACAACATGTCCTCAGGATGCTAAGGGTGACAGTGTGTAACACCTTGAATAATCATCAGTATTTGGGGGGTATATAAGTGGAGGTTAGGAAAATTCAGTTGATTTGTCCACAGATTTAAAAAGCAGGGAAGTGGAGTGACAGAGGTTGGGATCCCTGGCCGATGCCTCTGAGCTGTACTTGGTACCAAGGCATCCCTCCTACCTCACGTTGGTCTCTGGTTCTGCTCTATGACGGTAGAGGTTACAGATGCACCACTTTGTTCTAGCCCATGAACCAGGAGGTGCTGGTGTGAAAATTTGGGGGGAATTATTGTCTTTAGTCATTTCAGTTCTCATAGGTATGTTTCACCATGATATGTTGAAAATTTAATAGCAAATTAAAGAGTATTTGTCATTGATATGGTGTCTTTATCAATGACATTTCCTAAATGTCCAAACCAAGCCAACATTTCCTAAATCCAGAGAAATGGTGGTCATTATTATTTCGTGTTTTGTCTTTATAAGAAATCATCACATTCACACTGGGTTTATAACTTCACAATCATCAGTAAATTAGCAACCACACACTTCTCTAATCATTTTGAATATTGAACCAAGTTCAGAACTCATGATGAATAGCCCCAAACCCAACGTAATCGTATTGTTTAATTTAAAATCTTTCCTCCTCCATCTTCAGCCCCAGCTTATTGAAGTTTTGTTTTTCTTCTTCCTCACAGAACATGTTTCTGATTTTCATTACATCCTGATGCTGTTTCCTTCCCTGGTTCCTCTAAATCTGGGTTATATTCATGAGCACTGCTGGAGGAGTTAGTTGTGTGTTCAGTAGAGAGGCTTAGACTCATCTGTTAGAGTCAGTTGTTAAAATTCTGCACACTGGCTATTCATTAAACACAGCTTTTTGAAAATATAACTGTTTACTGTGAGCTAAATAGCATTTTTAAAAAGTACTAAGTATTACTCCCTTTGCTGTAGTTTATTATTGTCTGTGCTCATGGGTTATCTATCAGTTGTAATTCTAGTGGACTCATTTGCTCTCTGCATCTCTCCCCGCTCTGTGTGCAATGACATCATACTGATGCTTTGAAATTGATCTTGTGAGATATACTCTGGGTACAAACAGGGTTTTTCCTTGTGCACTATGGTCAATCATTGAAGAACTTCAGCCTATTGCTAATTTTTGACTTTTCTCTTGATCCTTCCCGCTCAGAATTGTGGAACCAATAAGAAGACTGAGCAGTGAAGGAAATTTCCATTGTTGGCCAATAATAGGGGAAGGGGGAGACAGACTCTCAAATCAGCTTCTCCATGTGGTAAGGGTCTAGAGGGCATAGATTCAAGGTGGAAGAAAAGAGCAAGTGAGTTAGGCTAGTCAAGAGGTAATGAACAGAGGTTCTTCCAGGATTCAATTGCCACTTCTTATTGTTCCTTTTATGGTTCTTTCTAGCCATGCCATAGCTCTTGTCAACTGTTGTGGAACTTGCAGGGGGGGAATCATTTGTTGAGAAGATGGGACTCCAGTGAGGTTACAGCTTGTCTAAGGACTGCTCTGGCAGCCCATTTCGCTCTAACATGGGCCATTTCTATGTCTGTAAAATAATCCTGTTACCCCGGGAGAAACCCCTCATCTTTCTGAGCTTTCATATCTCTTACTGTAAGTTGTGTCTGGTGTGGAATCATTGACTGCTTTGACTATAACAAGTCTAGTTTTGAATAAAGGAAATCACAGTTAAGGAGCCAATTAAAATTGCAATCTGGGAAAACACAGATTCAACCAGTCTTAAAAAGATGTGCTGAGTTTTTATAAAACGGTAGCCATATTTACAGCTTTAAACCATAAAGGGGACAGAAACCCCAGGAACTATGACTGTTGCTGACACCCCAAGTTAAGCTCTCTTGTACAAAAGGGGTTGGATACAGTCTCTGACTGGGTATTTTGGAGGAGAATTATTTTTTGCCCAAGAAAGGTTAGTGATGTTCCAAAGGTCAGCTTACATCTGGAGTTAGGTATGCCCCTTCAAAAGTCCCACTGCCCACAAGTCTGAGATCCAATTAATGCTGGCCTCCAGATTCCATTTTTAAGGTCATCCAGCAATTTTATTTTATTTTGACTTTTTTTTCTGTAATATGATCAAAGAGATCATCTTATGGAATGTGGCTAAAAATGATTGCTCTTACAATAAACAACGCTACCCTTCTTTACTCTTTCTATGTAGCAGGAGGAAATACATCTGTCCTCAGGCAGCAGCTGCTGCTTTTGTCATTTGTAAAAACACTATGCCCTGTTTTATGCTGATGTTTTTCTGTTGAAGAATATGCCTTGATGGGGCTTTAGGGACCCTAATGGACAGAAAAGCACCCTACATGCCAGACTTCCTTGTTTTAACTAATTATAAAACTGGACCGAATCCATCTACACAGTAAATGAACGAGACTTTTGAGATTCATTATCTGTCCAGGAAGAAGAGGGGACAATAAAGCAGAAACGAGCAGAGAATTTGTAGAGTTCTAAGTGGCACCTGCTAGTGGACAGGGGACCGGGGACAGCTATTATCTCTAAGAGCAAAGCAGTCAAGGGCTAACAAGAAATCTATCCAGAGAAACAATTTCCTCAGTAAGGGTGGGGTAGGGTGTACAAGAACCCATTGTTCCTGGCTTCAGCTTCACTTCTCACCCCTGCCACATGGAATAAAAGTGTGGGATGTTACTTTACAATGGTGAGTTGCTGAATCAAAATAAGCCAATTAGGAGAGTCATAGACAATCTAGTGAAAGTAATAAAGAGTAAGGCATGAAGATGCACACTCTAGACCTCATGCCTTGGGAATTCACAGGCGTTATAGACATTTTGACAAGTGAGCCAGCATTGGTTAAAACTGATTGCCATTAAGCCTGATGACCCGAGTCCAATAGCCAGGACTCACGTGGCAGAAGGAGAGAATGAACTCCCGAGAGTTGTCCTCTGCCTTCCACATGCCTTTCACAAACCCATGCCGTGTGTGTGTGTGTGTGTGTGTGTGTGTGTGTGTGTGTGTGTGTTAGCACTAGGTTTCCTGTAGATAAGCGATGGGAACAATCCACTTTCCTTAACAATGAAAAGGAAAGCCAGAAAGCTGAAAGGCATTTAAGCAGCAGAATGTTGTGCGGTGGGTGGCAGGCTCATCCAAGTTCCACACAGGTAGTTATTTACCTCATGTATTTTGCTCCATGCATATTCATCTTGATGATTCTCAAACTACTCTACCTGTCCAGGGGCCTGACCTCCCTTTCCCTGCTCCTCCTTCACTCCCCCAGCAACCCCTTTCCTGAGGTGGCTGATCCCCTTACCTTTACCTTGAAAATAATGTATGAAAACTGGGTATTAGTGGCCCTCTCTCCTAAGCTCACTATTCCAGCCTGTTGATTTTCATCACATCCATTTCTCCCTGTGGTGTTTGCAGTAAACAACCACAGATGCTCCTTGACTCATGATGGGGAACCACATTCTGGTAAACTTAACACGGTTTGGAAATGGTAAAGGTTAAAAAGGTGTATTTAGTGTACTTGAGTTGCCAAACACCATAACTTAGCAACACAGTGTTCTCGGGGGTGGAGGGGGTCACTTCTCATCCCCAAGCTCTCATGGCTGACGGGTGCTAGCTGCTTGTTGCTGCCCAGCATAGAGTATCACCTCAAATCTCAATTCAAAACTCATAGTGTGAAAAAGCCCTTTCCCATCTAAACAGGAGGTTTCCTCAAAGGGCTGAATCTGGATTTTCAACACAGAGCCCGAGACTTGACTGAAGATGGAGTGGACCACTTGGAGCTTCGAGTTTGATGTTAGAACTTCAATGGTGAGAATGCCCAGTGCCTGCTGCTTACTTACTCACCAGTGCTGGCTCCCTGTACCTGCTCCATTTTCCTATCTGCTAGATATTTCTGAGGAGACTTTTCTGTCTTACTCAGGCTGAGTAAGTCTCTGTCACTGTGTTCCTATACTACCCCATAAGGTATTCTTCTTCCACAAGGGTTGTATGTTGTGGTGGGTCCATTAGGGCGTGGGCTTCTGGAGGGTAGACATGATTCATTCTCATGGCACAAGGGCTTTCTAGTGTCTCCCACATGGGGAATGCCCGTAGTGTGGCTGTTTTGATAGGTGGGTGAATGAGTGAGAGTGAGTCCCACTAGATGGAGGTGGGGCTATGTAGGAAAACTTGGAGAAGCAGTGTGCAAGGAGCTCAGGGTGTGCTTTTCTGGTTAAAAGTGTATCTTAAAAGCTAATACTTTTGAACTGGGAGGAGAGGGTAATGAGCATGATACAGTTCAAAGGGAATCTTACAAGTCCATCTTATGTAACTCAATAACTCATTAAATGGCAAGGCTTTGTGTGGATTGTCAGATGCGGCACTACAATGCTGAAGTAGCCTGAGAGAGGAGAAAGGAAACGCAACCATTCTATTAATTTTTTCCATAAATATTTGTTACACAGGTGACCTAAGACTCTCTGCCCTTACATGGTTGTCTCAGGTGAGACAAACTAACGGCACTTTTCCCAAGATACTTGCTGGAGTGACGCAGGCTGTTTTTTTTCTTTTTCCAGAGGGTTGGAATTCAATTCCCAACACTCATGTTAGGTGGCTTAGTAACTCTGTTCCGCTCTCAACAGCTCCATCATAGCTGCATCAGCCTTGGCAAACAGTAGTCCAGGCAAGAAAAGCCTCAGTGAATTTCAGATGACCCTGCAGCAATTCAGCAACTCAGCAAGTCATGATTGGTGAAATGTGAAACTTGTGATGGTTCTTCATATGGAGCCTATGATGGGTTCGAGGACCACCCTTTATTGGCATTTCCACACCCACATCGCACACTGGTCCTTCCAGGCTGTAGAAACAGACTGTTTGGCGCTCTTCAAGTCAACCTAAGATGCTCTGTTCTCCTGCCTCTGGTGTAGCAGCCTTATGCTCAAGAAAAGGCTTCTCCTAAATGGTCTCTTCTTGCTTCATCTGATGTTTTTTATGGGTAGAGTAGGCTGAGTGTTTGTTATTGGTTGGAGTAGCTGAAGGCAAAGATGCTGAAGACAGTAGACAGGGGAGGCATCAGGATTGATGGGGGAGAGTGGAAGCGTAGAGAAGATGCAAGGTTGAAGAGCCTCTACTAGTTCTCAGGGCCTGGAGCTGTCAGTCTCTGGTTATTGGCCTATAGATTAGTAGATCAAAGCTATCTTCTGAAGCTCCATACCTGAGGTTCTATGATGTAGGTCAGTCCACGGTCCTGATGCTAGAGGGTGAAATTACTGAAGGAAGCGTTTTACCAAGACTTCCTGCTCAAAGCTATAACAAGTCACAGGCACCTCCATTTGAATGCATTTGTGATCCTTTCCTGTGATCAAGTTGCATATAGAATGCCCTGATCAGGCTGGCCAAAGCAGCAGGCTGTAAAAGTCAAACTTCACCTCACTCTCACTCTCACTCTCACTCAGTCTGGCTCCACATGACTTAGGACAAGCTGGGAACTTCTCTTTCATGGCCACATTGTTTCTTTATACAGGTGAATTGGGGCTGGACCACTCTCTCAGGATGCATGCAGATATCAAGGTTCTTGAGAGTGAGGGTATCAGTGGGGCTGTGGTTCAGGCTGGTAGAGCCTTCCACCTTTAAGAGAGCTCTGCTCTTACCCATCTATCTTTCCCAACTGAACTGCTCGAGTTTCTTTGCTAACTGATCAAGTCTGCTTACTTGCAAGTGAGATCGCAGGAAATACAAATTCAGTCTTTAAAAGTTGCCAAGCAAGGGTGTGATTCATGCTCAGAATCTTACACTTACCTCTGCATGTGGGAGAAGACATGTACAACAGTGTTCTTTAAAGGCCGACTCATTCATTCTGGTTTCCCATTGGTCTGGATTTTTCCTTTGGTTTGAAATTTGCTATATTATAGGCTCCTCTACCTAGTTTTTTTCATCTGTATAGAGTCTCTCATTGGCCTAGAACTTGATAAAAAAAAAAAAGGCTAGGTTGGTAGACCAGAAAGCCCAGGGATCAATGCCTTCCCTGTATTGGGATTACAAATACATGCAACCATGCTTGGCTTGTTATACGTGGGATATAGGGGATCAAACTCAAGTCTTTTCATTGTAATGAAGGATCTACACTGGCTGAGCTGTCACCAGCTCCCAAATCCATCTGAATTCCTAATTAAAATTTTTACTTTCCTGACTAGAAAAAATAGCATATGTATATTTCTTCATGCAATATTGTAGCTATATACATATATATATATATATTATATATAGATAGATATAGATATAGATATTGCAGATTATAGAATATCAAGATAAGGATCTGGGGAGAATGACTGAGGTAATATAATGTCTGTGGGAGTCAGTATTGGCCTGGTCCTAAGAAAACACAGAAGTCACTTAGGCTGTTGAAAAGCACAAGTAACATTACACATAGGAATGGGTGTTATGGCATAAAGGAAAGGTGCTCAAGATTCAGGGAGGAGGGGTCTGAGATAAGTAAATACAAAAATTCTGGAAGACATAGGCAGAGCCTGTCTCATCAGTCAGCCAAAATCACCAGGTTGTAAAATTACATCATTCCTGGCATCCTAGGAAGAGTAGCTGTGCACCTTCTTCCACTGAAGAGGTGAGCTGTGAATTTAACTTTCCCGGCTTCTCCAGTGCTCATCTCTGTGCACAAGGCCTCTTTGCACTTGATGTAGTGTGTGTGATATGAGGGGTCTGTGTGTGTGTGTGTGTGTGTGTGTGTGTGTGTGTGTGTGTGTATATACCTGTGTTGGTGTGCCTATGTCTCACTCTCCTGTATCTCTGTTTATCTGTGTGTGTATGTATGTATCTGCATTGGTATGTCTGTCTGACTGTCTGACTGTCTCCATGTCTATGTGTGTTTGTATATGTGTGTGTGTGTGTGTGTGTGTGTGTGTGTGTGTGTGTGTGTGTGTGTGTGTGTGTGTGTGTGTGTGTGTGTGTGTGTGTGTGTGTGTGTGTGTGTGTGTGTGTGTTCTCTCTCCCCCCGTCTCTCTCTCTCTCTCTCTCTCTCTCTCTCTCTGTCTCTCTCTCTCTCTCTAATGGTATTTTTGTGCCTTCCAGTTTCTATTTGGAGAACAAATCACCCTAGGCTGAGCTTCTTCATAGAGACATATTTCTAGCAGGATGCAAATCAGGACTGTGTTTTATGATTATATGTTTTAGGACAATATGATAATATGATATACTATATAATATGTTTTCCATATGGTACATAATGCAGCTCCAAAAGAATTAATGGGTAAAGGATCTAAAAGGAGACAGGATTAGAAGTAGTACCAGATGTGGTGTTTCATGTTCACTTCTGATGACTAGAAATGGGTAGCTTGTGGTTTTAATCTCTAGATACATAAAATACTTTGCTCTTCAATGCCACTTTGCTTGTGTGATTCCATTTAATCCTATTCTGTTACAGAGAGGTTGTTATTCCCATTCTGTAGACTATAAAGCTTCCACCTAGGTGTTAAATGGCTTGAGCAAGCTTTGTTAAGGAATCAGGATTAAAGTCAGGTTGCCTGGCTTGAGTATTCTTCTTCACCTGTTGGTCCCCCAGTGTTTTCCTTTGTCCATGTTGAGTTTGGTCTCCATCTGGAAGTCAAACTAATGCTTTCAAGATCCAAATCAGATCACGATCCTCCCCCCCCCCCCCCCCCCCCCCCCCCCCCCCCCCCCCCCCCCCCCTTTATTGTAATGTCAATCAATGCTGAGTCCTTGTAGTAGCCTCTAGGTTCCTGGACACTCTCATCTCTGGCTGTTTCTTCCCTCTTCATCTTCTGCTTTCCTTCTTGTTCATTATATCCAGCCTTTTTGGGTGTTCATTTCTTAAAGTAGCAAACAATTTCATACCTTTTATGTACTATTTCCTTTTCCTAGGGTGCTTCCCATTCATGTGTGGCAAGCTCCTCATCACTCACGTCTCAGCTCAAATCAGAAAGCTGTTCCTTGATTTTCTTAAGAGAGCACCCTTAGCCCCTGTAGTCATCCACTTCAGTAAGTATGCATACTGTCATTGGATTAAAAGATTTTGCCACATTGAACCCTCAGCCCGAGGAAAGGTTGGGGCAGGTAGTCCTTCAGCTATGTACAGCTTGTTATTTCCCTCCTTTGCTCCAGAGGGATCATGAATTTTTATGTATATTATTAGGTGAACAAACATGCTTAACATTTGCAGGTAGCAGCACCCTGTTTTATTTTTCCTATAGGTTTTATGACTTTCAAACTCATCAGTTTATTTATTGCATCCCCCTTTGCTGTAGGCACCCGACTTTATTTTGCTCATCCTTGTATCTCCTGCACTGGCTGAAATAGCACATGGCACACAGAAGGCAATCAGGATATCTTTGTTAAGACAAAGAGGCCTCTCTTGTCAAGAACACAGTGACTGGAACTGGAACTGGGTAAGAATTCATGATAAAATTGAGGCACCAGACAGATGAAACAACCTCACAGTTATTGACAGGATACCTTAAAATGTAACTATTTCAGGGCTTTAAACTGCTACTACCAGCCCAGAAATAAAGTAAATGCAATAATGTACCATTATGTTTGCAAAAATCAAAGTTGTAGAAAAATCAGTAGGTTTAAATGTTGGGACGTCTGTGGAAGTTCCAACCAAAGTCAGTGTTTGTAAATTCCTACTATTTAGTGAATATTTAACAGCAAAACCAAATGGCAGAAATTTACTGAGGTTAAAAACTTCTATCCTTTCAGGAATATATAGTCTAATGAAGCCAGAGGCATATGTATGATGCTCTTTTTTTGTTTTTCCCTGTGAGTTTCTGCTTTCCATAAATTTCAGCTCTTGGATCGGTCATTGGCTGAATGAAGGTCAAACCTCCTAGCAGCCATAACCCTACCAACACAGCTCTCAGCTTGACAGCAAACCAAGGTTTGCCCTTCTCTAGGAGAAAAAAAAAATCACAGAGGTTCCAAAAGAATCAATGCCAACAACAAAACTCTGCCCCTGGTGATTAGTCTTGGTTGTTAATCTGACTGGCTCTGGACTCAGAGACAAGCTGCTGGGCACACCTGTGAGGAATCTTCTTGATTACATTAATTGAAATAAGAAAATGAACAGGCTGGAAGGTAAAGCTTTTGGTTTTTGCTTGCTAATCTTCACTGGTGAGTCCCTCTACCCTGCTCACCAGTAGCCCATCTACACTGTGACTGATGGCTGTCACCCTCTACTGTCACTGCTATGCTCACAGCTATACCACCAACACAAGACCACACTGCGACCCAGCTTCTTTGGTCTTGACTGAATACTAGTGGAGTTTTAGGAATCCTCCAGGCCCATGGGGGCCAGATTGGGATTGGGCCAGACTGACGGGGAAGCCACCAGTTCTTAGTAGTGTGAAAACAGTCAAGACTGTGTCATGTAAGTCAACCTAATGAATCTCCTTTTAAAGTATATTCATTCTACTGGTTTTGGGCCTCCAGAGAACCCTGACTCACACGTATGCTAATGAGAACATATCACATTCCACTTGTTGAGTTTTTTCTTTGTGAATTTTATCCTCATAAAATACACAGAGACACATAGACACACACACACACTTGCCATGGGAATTTGTTTTTCCTACATTTGAAATTCTTTCAATGACTCATCCACCTACCTAGTCCTTAATTCACCCACTACACACTGAAACAGATGGCACAGCCCCCTTTTAGAATACCATCTATCTTGCCAAGTTGGCAGGAAGCACTCATACAATGCTCTCTGAATTGTGACTTCAGCTACGACTATTATCCTGAGAAGCTGGGTGGCCAAAGAGCTTCTCAAATCATTGGTCCAGTTGCCAACCGATCCATGCTTTGACCTGGTGCCATGTGAAGGGAATATAGTCGACTTCCACATGGTATGGTCCCTTTCATTCTTCGATATTGCTTGGAAATAGCTTTCAGTCTTCTGGGGGCAGGGCCAGCAGATCAGGAACATTGGCAAGAAACAATCCCAAACTGCCTCTTCATGAGCTCTCTGAAATTGGTTTCTAAGTGAAACATGCAGTCAATCAGCCTTTACTTTTGGATGAGGGAACCACACAGCACAAGTTACTGACTTTCCTCCACTGAGGAATGAGGAATTTCAAATTACCTGAATCGATTGCTGGTTAAAGAGAGGTAGCTTTTGCCTATTTCAAAAACCAAGGAGGAAGGAAAAGAAATGGAGCAATTAGATTGTTCACCTGAGTGTGGGTCACTTGAGTTGTATTTTGTTTGGATTGAAACTCAGAATCCAGGACTGGGGAGATGGCTCAGTGTGTAAGTATTTGCTGAACAAACATGAGGGCTGGATTAGAGTCCCCACTACCCACGCAAAGTGCCATGTGGCATGGTAGCCTACCTATAATACCAGCACTGGGAGGCAGAGCAGGGAGTCGAAAGAACAACCTGGCTAAGTAGACTTGCTGAGGTGAGCACTGGACAGCAAGAGACTCTGTCTTGGGAAATAAGCAATCGGGAAAGATATCTGGCCTCAACCTCAGCCTCCACCTGACACTCACCCCGCCCCCCACACACATATGCACCTATACACATATGGACACATACAAGTAAATACACAAAATAAAGGCAAGGTTCCTTTTAGCTCATGGTTTGATGTGATACAGCTTGTCACACCACAAGAGGCATACAAGCTAGCTGTCTCCCTTTTGTCTTTGTGTTCAGTCTTGTTTTATACCAGTCCATTGGGTAGTACCACCCACATTCAGAGTGGGTCTCTTCTTCATATAAACTCTCAGAAAACTCTGTCAAAGATATACCCAGAGGTGTGACTCATAGGCAATTCCAAATCCAGTCAAACTGACAAAGACAATTAACTCTTAAGATAAATATGAATAAAGGTCCATGACTAGGATCCAGGATGGCCATGCTTTCTGCTTCCCACTGAAAGACCCCCGAAGAGGTACTTTCGTAGAAGGAGACCCGCACCCAGGAATCAGCGAGACCATGAACTTGGATGCAAAACCGCAAGAGGCTTTATTGGAGATACGGGTACCCGGGCGACTTAGCTTCTGTGAGGCCAAGCGCGCCGAGCCAAGGGAAAGGGGTCCTTATATAGGGAAAAAGGCGCAAGCTAGGAGCAGGGATTCTATTGGATAATTCTAATGAGGCATTGTACAGAGCTATTCCCATTGGTCAATGTAAATGAGGCGCTATACAGGGTTATTCAAATGA